GATTTAATTTTTAATTTTTTTTGTCATTTTAAATATGTAATTTAGATTATAATTATTTTTCATTATGACTTATGCACAAAATTTACATGATAATTCAAACAATCTACTTTTATGTTTTAGTGATAAATTATTAAACTACACTTTTTAAAGAGTATGAAAATATTTGATGCAATAGTTCAAAATGGAATAGGGGAAGTAAATTAGTACACGGAATAATTGGATATAAGATAAAATTGTTAATTTAAACAATTTTTAGGTACACATAAAAAATAAGGACAAAAACTGTTCATTTTGAACTCCGTAATACATTAATAGAACAATTATGAGAGTAACGTAATAGTCTTGAAAGTTGAGTATTTATGTAAAATTTAAAATAAATTTTACGATAATACAATATTTTATGATGCAATTATATTTCATCAATGGTTTCACTTTTATTTGAATTGTTCATTAATATGTATTATATATAATATTTATTGCAATTTGTGATATTTAGAAATTTAGAATAAAATATAATTTTATATTAAATGAAGAATTTGAAAATAAAATAAAATTTTGTATTACATAAAGATTATAGAGTGATTATTTGCAAAAAGAAGAAATGATTTATATTATGAAATAAGAAAATAAGATAGCGTGATTTTTTGCAAAAAGAAGAAATTATTTATATTATGAAATAAGAAAATAAGAATGAAATTGAAATAATAATATAATATTGAAGAGAGAGAAACAGATTCCTTTTTAGAGAGTAAAATAGAAAATTGAATTGGAGTTGATTGTCTGAAAAAATAGAAAACTCTATATTTGGAGAGTAAAATAGAGGATAGAGTTGGAGATGCCCTTAATATGTCGATATGTGATGCACTATACATAGCGTCTAACTTAGAGTCCTACAATAGTCCAATAACAAAGTCAACACAAAGTAGGAAGATATAATACATAAACATAATCATTAACTTGACGTCAGCTAATAACTATGATCTTTAACTTTGAATGTACACAAGTAGACAATTAAATTTGTATAAAATTGAACAAATAAACATATTCACCCTACATGACAATTTTGTTTCTTACGTGGCATCAAAAGAGTATTATGTCATGTAAGACACGTGTGTCTATTTGTTTAATTTTATACAAATTTAAGTATCTCCTTGTACTCACTAAAAGTTGAAGGACATAGTTATCAGCTGAAACCAAATTAAAGATCATGTTTATATATTATGTCAACTAGGAAATATCATCCATTAGCTTTTATCTAGCTTGCATCCATCATCATCAATTAACTTTTATCTAGACTCTACATATGTGCTAAAAATTAACTACATCAGCAAGTGTTTGACTATAATTACAACTGTTATTGGATGTTAACTCAAACTCGATATAGAAACTCATAAACTTCAAATTCTGAATATGCCACAACTAAATGCGGGGGCATTTCAAGTTTGGTAAAATCCATCTAACATGATGTCCTCCTCAAGCAATGGTTAGTGCAGAATCATAAAATTCAAATGAGGGCAAATTCTTCAATACAAATGAGATGTCACAAAAACACACTCAAACTTGCTGAGTTTCGAACCTGTGCGCCAACTGAAGTCGGGCCAGAAGAAGCAAACAAAGGGATTTCTCCCATAGAAATAAGATAGTACTCAAAATGAATAACGCAGAATGAGGAATTAAGAAGCATATAATATATAAGCTTGTTGCAGAGGAAATCATTAGCTTCCTTTTGGGACTCCAGAGGGTGCTTCCATCTTCAATTGCCTGAATCAATTATGGGTGACAAATATCAGGTTGGTTAGCAGTAAAAACAGGTTTTCAGAAACGAAATTTGAATATGTAAACAAACTTCGACTCATTATCTGAAGATAAATATGAATTTTAACAATGATGCACAAGAAATTGGTTTTGACCTGCACACTTCACTAGAAACATGTATGGATACAATTTTTATTTTTATTTAGCATAGTCATTAGTCAAGCCAAAAGGAATGGATGGATTCAGTTGAACTTGCAGAATGTGCTCATGATGTATCTTTTATGATTCACCAATATTTATCTTTCTCCAACAATTGGAAAAAATTTTGTGAGTTGAAAAGAAAGGTGATATGTAACAATATACATTACTCGCAGAGTACTATAAAGGCATCACATTTTTTTTACAGTAATAACCAAGAACAAGTAGCACACGGTTCAAAACAAGATGGATATATAATGGGTCAGTCCTATCTTTTTTCACTTGAATATCAGATTTAGTTCGCATAGCGTATTGCTCGTACCTCTGACCTAAGTAACAAATCATTCAATCTTTGTCACTTGAACTAAGAACATGACAACATCCCGAATAGTGCAACAATTAGGAACTCATGTGACATTATCTATAAGTTGCTCTCCAAAAATGTTGCCGCATCCGTGTCAGATCTTTTAAAAACACATAAATTTTGAAGGATCTGACATGCACCCGTCGACATTTTTAAAGAGTCCCATGATCATTAGTTGGAAAATGCTAGCTAGCATGTGTTGGCAAATAATAATCCCATGCAGGAATAATATTCATGATAAATACTCTAATAAGAGCAAGTTAAGATAATAATCACACACAGTATTTTTAACGTTGAGAATATTATCGAGAGAAGAGCAATACATATCATTATAATGGAAAATTTAACACGCTTGCTAGTCCCTACATACTACTCAAGAAATAATTCACTTTTTTTAACAAACCTTACTTAAAACTTATGTTGCTAGTAGTCTTCAGTAATGTCGAGAGATATGTTAGATCCTTCAAAATTAGTACTCCCTCTTCCATTTTACATGGTATTCTTTTTTTTTAATCCGTCCCAAAAAGAATTGTTCTTTATTATAATTAGAAATAATTTAATTTTAAAATTCTCCTTTTACCCCTAATGAGATGATTTACAACTACACAAATATGTAAGGATTATTTTGAATGACAAATTTCAAAAGTCTTCATTTTTTTCTTAAACAACGTGTCAAGTTAAACAATGTCACATAAAATGAAACAGTGCGTATCATTTTGAAGAATCCAACACAAATGTTATAATATTTTTTTAAAAATCAAGCAACATAGCTTAAAATCTCCTGCACTTTCTTAGACTTGGTGTTTATGAATTTGAAATGAGAAATAGAGACAAAGTAACCAATCAAATGTTGGGTTGGCCCCACAAAATGAATGGAAACAAGATTTATTTGTTCCATGCCCTCCTTCACCTTATTTATCATATACTGTAAAGTGCAAATAAAAGTGTAATGGGTTCCTAATTTACCAATCTCCACCCCCCCCCCCCCCCCCCCCCCCCAAAAAAGAAGGGAAAATG